TTTAGCTTAGTGTATCAGTCCTGCTCTACAAACATCAGTTTCAGTATCAGAGAGATACACAGTATTAGTTCTTTCTTTGTACAAAGAATGAGTACTCTCAATGACATTTAATGCCAAGTTGGCAAGCCTCCATCTGTTCTTCCCTCCATTCAAGAAAAACTCCTATGCTAGTCAGTCAGTGTGACTGCCAATGATCTTCATTCTGCTGATAAGAATATGCAAGAACCACAGTGATGTTTCCATTATCCTACTGCAAGTCATTGACAGGGTCAGGACTAAAAGCTAGCTCTTCTCCACCCCTGACCCACTTTGTGCACTCCTATTACCGAGCCCAAGCTCGTACTTCTTTTCACACAACAGGCCAATAAATCAAGAGAGGAATTGTTGAGACAACGAATAGCAACTTTATTCAGAAAGCCAGAAGACGGAGAAGATGATGGACTAGTGTTCCAGAGAACCATTTTGCCTGGGGTTTGGATGCTAGTTTCTTTTTTACAACAAAGAAGGGGAGGTGAGGACGTAAAGTCAAAAAAGGAAATACGTCTTTGCAAATATTTCCTGGCTCTGACCAGACTCCGGAAAGGATGTATTAATGTCTTCTTTCCTGCAGCCATTCACGGGTGGGTCTGGTCAAGATGTTTCCTGTGCGTTTAAACAAAGGTATTTTAGCTCAACACTCAGGCATGGGAGGCAGGGTTCCAGGAGATGGGCCATTATGTACACCTTAAGCCATAGGCAACATCACTTTAATTGTTAACTTGTAGCAGAAGCAATAGATACAAAGGTTAAAGTAAAAGAAATAGATCCAATATGGAGTCAGATTTGTTCCCTATTACACTCCCCAGCATATAGTCATGGAATGAGGGAACTAGAAGGGATCTTCAATAGTGCTACTAGCACTGGATGACAGCTCAATGGCTAAATAGAAAGGTAACATACTGTAATAGAACGAGAGACTTAGAAGTGTCAGACATACACTGAGGGAGGTGGAGCTGTGTATGTATTTGTATGTAAGAGAGGATGGTGGCTAACACTTTTCCTATTTTTGTAGTCAATCCTTTCATCTTATTTTAAAGAAACTGAGGGCCAGTGAGACTGGGTGGCTGTCTCAACATCACACAGTCTGTTAGCATTTGAAGAACCATGTTCAAATGCATATTCTCATTTTCAGTTATTTACATACCCTTTATAAATATACCAAAAGACTCAGACACTATTTTCTCATGGTGGATAACAAAGTTTACACTTCTTCTACCCAATGCTTATTCCATTTATTCTGAAACAACTAGTGGTCTGCATGTCATTATTTTCAGAAAACCATGATCCAAGTGTGTATCAATTCCCTAAATCTTCCTGGAGATTCCTGGCCAGTCTACCTTTGTCCTTCTGTTTCCCCAGTCTTAGAATACCTTCTCTGTTCTATTCACTGCTCTGGTTATCAAAGAGCTTCTCATTCACTAAGGTTTAGCTCAAATGTGACCTTTGCATTCAGCCTTGCCCCTATAGTCCCAGTTGAAGTTATGCTGTTACCGAGTCCAAACTCATTTTGCTTGCTGTACTACAGGCCAATAAAATGGGAGATGAGGTGTTGGGGCAAGGAACAACAATTTGATTCAGAAAGCCAACAGACTGAGAAAATGGCAGACTAATGCCCTGGAGAACCATTTCCCCAAGTCAGAATTTAGGCTCCTTTTATACTGAAAAGGGGGAGGGGATGTGGTTGGTTGTTGCAAACTTCTTAGTGTCAGAATCCTTTGTTCTTGCAGCTGTCCACGTAGGTCAGGTCATGATGTTCCTGTAAACCTCCAACAAGACAAATGTTATTTTATATTCTGCAACTTTTTTTTTAATCTTTATATGAAAGGGAAAGTGTTATACCTTTAAAGGTCAGAGCCTTGAAAATAGGCTTCCTTGTATATTTCAGGCTATATGCAACATTCTTTTACAAAAAATGCAGAATCAGCATGACTAAGTACTGGAATAGGGTTAGAGCTAAAGGAATAGAGCTAATGTGGAATCATATTTGTTCTTCACTATTACAATTCCTCTGCACACCAAGCAAAGTGTGCACCTTATTCTAGTGTTATTTCATTCTCCTACTTGTTAAGCCTCTCTATTTCCATTAGAAGGCAAGCCCTTTCAAGAGAGGTACCTTGTCTTATCTATTCCTATACCACCTTACATCTAGCATACAAGGTCCCTCTGAACCTTCCTTTTCAGCTCATATATACTTGAAGGTAAAAAAAGGAGTGGTAGATAGTAAGTTTATTTCAGAAAAGTGACCTTGTTCATTAATCTTGTCTCACCAATTAAATGATAAGCTCCTTGCGATCAAAAAGTTCTTTGCCTATAACGCTCTTGTTTGTCACAATGCTGGCACAGAGTTGTAGGCTCCATAAGTTATGATTGATTTTATCCAAGAAAATGAATAGGGAAGTTAGGAGGCTGAGGTATTTATTAACTTTAAGGAGAAGAACAGACTTTTGGAAACAAGGGTTTCACTTGGTCTTTCTCCTCTGGCCTCCTTGCTTTTTTTTGTTGTAAGTCTAAACACACCCAGATGTTACATTGTTAGAGATTTCCTTTTAGTAAATTATCTTACCCTTTCACTTCAAGTTTTTAAAAACCTCATCCTCATAACTTGACTCTGAGTTTGCTTTAATTTTTGCTGAATTTTTGGAAACAACTGAATTAGGGTATATTAAAGTGAACTTGTCTGAGCTCTTAGAGCAGTTATAAATATCTAAATATTCAGAGGTTTCTACAAGTTCTCTGCAGGTTCCTTGTCTCGATCTGATTCTTGAAAGCTGAATCAGTTTTCAATTATTCTGAGCAGCGACTGATGAGATATGAGCATAAATCATAGGAAGAGGTCTATTTGATATTAGGAAACAGCTAAAAAAGAATTATCGTGCTGGCCAAGGTGTAGAAATGAAGTGGAACATTATGCTTGGTAAAGCAGTATGTGGAACACAGGACCAAAAGTTGTTCCCCAGTTCCACATCTGACTAGTCCTTAACCCTTTGTCTTTAAAAAAGAATTTTGGCTATAATCTCAGTTATGCTTATGTCATTATAACCTATGATACTATTAATCTATTAAAAATCTAATAATTTACAATTATTGAAAGAAATTAGACGGATTGGATATATCACTGAGAGAGTGTTCAAAACAGGCAGAGACAGAGCCAAGAAAGACCTGTAAGATTGTAGGAAAAGGTCAGAGAGAAAACATCCTGTAGACCATATGTTTAGCTAAGGCTAATTCTGCTGGAAAAAATAAGAAGATACAAATCACTACACAGTGCTTAACTAAAAGGAATCATTGCCATTTTAGTTAGATCTAATTTTAGTTGGCCTATTTTAGATTCGCCATCACAGGGAGTCAGTCCCATAGTAGAATAATCATGATTTATATACACTCGTGATGTAACTGATGCAAAAAAGCTAAGTAGTGGTTATGAATTGGTGCCATTTCTCATGCTCCTTATATAGCATGAGTCTCGAAAGAGACAATAGAGTCCAGCAATTATCACAGAATGAATACTTCCATATAAATGTACATTCTAAATAATTGAAGTGTGCCCCTTTGTAGGCTACATATTTTTTGAAGTACCATTTATGATGAAATTCTTAGTAAAACAGATTGAACACTTCTTTACATCTAAAAATAGACGGTATTTAAACATAATTTAGAATTGTATTATTGATTCAATCTTATCATTATAAACATAGTTATTAGTCTTTATTACATAACATACTTATGCCCTGGGTAATTAGGAAATGATAATGGAATTGTAAGAATTGTGTACAAAAATGAGATACATTTTGGATCTTGCTATGCCCTGGGTAATTAGGAAATGATAATGGAATTGTAAGAATTGTGTACAAAAATGAGATACATTTTGGATCTTGCCATAGCTATTTTGTTTGCTCAGAGAAAATTTCTTTTTCATATATCTTGGATGCTGAGGTTATACTTCAGGTGCTGAGGTTACCAGGTACAAAATTTCATAATAAATTAAGAGTAACAAAATTTATTCAATAATACAGATAATTTAAAATTTTTTCTTGGCTGCAGATTTTATATACAAATAATGATTACTAACAGAAGGTTCAGAGGAGCTAATAGAACAATCCATTTCCAGGAAAAAGCTCTCCCCACCAAAACAAAGGAAAGCATGCTTCCTGTATGTTGGGCCAGAAGGCATAACTTCCAAAAGAGGTGGATAACTGCTGTTCCTCACACTTGGGAAAATATTAAAAAATCAGGTTATCTCAGAACATCCTATCTTCAGAAAGTTATCTTAAGTTGCATGTCTCCTACATAGAAAAAGCCATGGAAAAAATTGCAAGGCATCTTAAAAGTCATTGAAAAACAAGTATAAAAATATCCTAATGTCATTTATTGGAATATACCAGAGCTAGTAATAGAAAATGTGATTACTGCTCAAGAAACAACAACAGAGTAATGGTTAATGAATCATAGAGTAATGAACTCATACAAATTTGAATCTTGATTTTCCTAATTATTAGCATATACATTTTAGACAAATTCTTGCTACCTCAGCTCCCTTATCTCTAAAACAGGGTTCATAATAATATATATTATTTTTGTTGTGAAAATTAAATAACTTGAAATATTTAATGTGTTTTGAACAGCCCCTACAATACAATAAGAAACTGACAAGAAATTGTTATTATTTGCTATTTTTGGAGTAGCTAGGAGGTAATAAAATAAAATAAAATCTAATTTTGTAATAATGAAAATTGTAATATTTTGAAAATTGAGGAAATTTTGATTTTTTTCAACAAATATTTGTTATATGCCTACTATGTGTCACTAGCAGACACTCTGCTAATAAGGGTTAATATACTGGAAAATGTTATTGGGAAAATTATAGAATCATACTTGAGAAATCTTTGTCAGAAACTGTTGAAATGGCAAATATTTAGTCCTTCCAGAACAGATTTGATTTTAATTTCGTTTTTATCTCTCAGGGGAAGAGTCATGTGACATACAACTTTACATTAAGAGATATTCTGTATGTGCTGTGTCAGCAGGGGGTCCATTTGAACTGGAATGCCTGTGAAATACTGTGCTAACAGACTTGCTGGGGCCTGGTGCAAGCTCGAAGGAAACAGCTGTTTACATCTTGGGGACAGACTTCAGGGATACATGGGTTGAGAAGAAAGGAAGACTATTTCTATTTTTATTTTGCATTTTAATCAGGTGCTTGCTAGTGAAAATGGGTCATACCGCTGTTCAGTGAACTCTTTGTCTGGATTCATTGAAAGCCACTCAGTTACCATTAATGTGACAAGTGAGTTTCAGGTACCAAGACTACCTAATGTTTTTCATATCATATTTCAAGAAAAGGGCTCAGATTATCAAGTGATTATGTTAGACATTGAACTCACATAAAACATCAGAAGGCTACCATGACTCACAGATTGTAATTTGTAGTCATATATGTGTGTATGCACACATGTGTGTATGTGTGTGTGTGTGTGTGTGCTTTGGACTGAGGCAGGAAAGAGTAGACCCAGAATAGACAAAAAAGTCTTGAAAAAGAAACAGAGTTGGAGGACTCATGTTTTTCTATTTCAAAGCTCACTACAAAACTATAGTTATTGAAACAGTGTGGTACTGTTGTAAGAATAGTTATATACATCAATGGAAAAAAACAGAGTCCAGAATAAATCCATACATCTTTGGTCAATTGATTTTTAACAAGAGTGTCAAGACCATTCAAAGGGAAAAGTATACTTTCTTCAGTAAATTGTGCTGGGACAATTAGATATCCACATGCAAAGGATAAATTTGGAACTCTCCCTCATGCATGATACACAAAATAATTTTAAAAAGATCAGATATCTAAATATAAAAACTAAAACAATAAAATCTATGTTTATATAAAACTATTATACTATGTTTCCTTAGAAGAAAACATAGGAGTAAATCTTCATGATTTTGGATTTGTCAGTAGTTTTTTGGTACAATATCAAAAGCACAAGCAACAAAAGAATAAATAGGTGAATTGTACTTCATGAAAATTAAGAACGTTTGTGCTTTAAAGGACACTATCAAGAGAGTGAAGAGACAGCTCCCAGAATGTGAAAAATATTTGTAAATCATTTATCTGTTAAGGGACTAGTACCCAAAATATATGAAGAATTCTTGCAGCTCAAAAACAGACAAGAACCCAATTAAAAATGTGCAAAGGAGTTGAATAGACATTTCTTAAAAATATATATATATAAATGGTTAATAAACACAGGAAAAAATGTTAAAAACATAATTAGTTATTAAGGAAATGCAAATTAAGCTACAATGAAGTACAACTTTACCCACTAGGGAAACTAGAATTTCCTTTTTAATGGAAGATGACAGGTATTGGCAAGAATATGGACAATTGAAATCCTTATATATTGCTGATGGGAATGCAAAATGATGCAAATGCTTTGGAAAACAGTCTGGCTGGTCTTCAAAAGGTTAAGCATAGTTGCCACAGGCCCCAGTAATTCCATTGCTAGGAAAATACCCAAGTGAAATGAAAATATATATCCACACAAAAACCTGTACACAAATGTTTACAGGAACACTATTCACAACAGCCTTAAAGTGGAAACAACCCAAATGCCTATTAACTGATAAAGGAAATGTGGTACATCCATACAGTGGAATATTATTCACCCATAAAAAGAATGAAGTACTGGTACAGGATACAACATAGATGAACCTCAAAAACATTATACTAGGCAAAAGAAGCTGGACACAGAAGATCACGTATTGTGTGATTCTGTTTATATGAAATACCCAGAAGAGAAACACCACAGAGACAGAAAGTGATTAATGGTTGCCAGGGGCTGAGAGAAAGGTAAAATGGGGGGAGATTAATGAGCAGGGAGTTTCCTTTTGAGGTGATGAAAATATTTCACAACTAGATAATGGTGATAGTTGCACTTTTAAAAATTGAGGTATAGTTCATTTACAATATTATATTTGTCTCAGTTGAACAACAGAGTGATTCAAAATTATAATATACAACATTTACAGTTATGATAAAATATTGGCTATATTCTCTGTGCTGTAAAATATACCCTTACAGCTTATTTATTTTATATGTAGTAGTTTGTACCTCTTAATCCCCTACCTTATTTTGCCCCTTTCTCCTTCCCACTTCCCACTGGTAACCACCAGTTTGTTCTCTAATACCCATGAGTCTGTTTCTGCTTTGTTATATATACACTACATCTTCTTTATGCATTCATCTGTTGATGGACACTTAGGTTGCATCCATATCTTGGCTATTATAAATAATGCTGCTATGAACATTGAGATGCATATATCTTTTCAAATTAGCGTTTTCATTTTCTTTGGATATATACCCAGGGCTGGAATTTCTGGATCATATGGTAGTCCTGTTTTTAACTTTTTGAGGAACTTTCATACTGGTTTCCATAATGACTGCACAAATTTACATTCCCCCAACAGAGTAGAGGGGTACTCTTTTCTCCATATCCTCACCAACATTTATTTTTAGTCTCTCTGACAGGTGTGGGGTGATAATTCAACATTTATTTGTAGCCATTCTGACAGGTGTGGGGTGATAATTCACTGTGGTTTTGGTTTGCATTTCCCTGATGATTAGCAATGATGAGCATCTTTTCATATGCCTGTTGACTATCTGTATGTCTTCTTTGGAAAAATATCTATTCAGGTCTTCTGTTCATTTTTTAATCAGGTTGTATGTTTTTTATTGTTGTTGAATTGTATGAACTGTTTACATATTTTGGATATTAAGTCCTTTTCAGTCATATCATTTGCAAATATTTTCTCCCTTTTAGTAGGTTGTCTTTGTGTTTTGTTAATGGTTTCCTTTGCTATGCAAAAGTTTTTAAGTTTTATTAGGTCTTATTTGTTTGCTTTTGCTTTTGTTTCCTTTGCCTTAGAAGACAGGTCCAAAAAACATTGCTGCAATTTATGTCAAACAGTGTTCTGCAAATGTTTTATTCTAGGAGTTTTATGGTTTCTTGTCTCACATGTAGGTCTTTAATACATTTTGAGTTTATTTTTGTATATGTGTTAGAGGATATTCTAATTTCATTCTTTTACATGTAGCTGTCCAGTTTTCCCAGCATCACTATTGAAAAGAATATCTTTTCCCTGCTGTATAGTTTTGCCTCCTTTGTCATAGATTAATTGACCATAAGTGTGTGAGTTTATTTCTGTCTCTTTATTCTGTTCCATTGGTCTATGTGTTTGTTTTTGTGACAGTACCATACTGTTTTGCTTACTTTAGCTTCATGGTATAGTCTGAAGTCAGGGAGTGTGTTTCCTCCAGCTCCATTCTTCCTTCTCAAGATTGTTTCAGTTACTCAGGGTCTTTTGTGTTTCCATAGAAAATTTTAAATTATTTGTTCTGTTTATGTGGAAAATGCCATTTGTATTTTGATAAGGAATGCATTGAATCTGTAGATTGCCTTGGGTAGAATGGTCATTTTAACAATATTAATTCCTCCAATTCAAGAACACAGTGTCTCTTTCTATCTGCTAGTGTCACCTTCAGTTTCTTTCATCAGTGTTTTATAATTCTAACCACAGGTCTTTTATTGCCTTAGGTAGATTTATTCCTAGGTATTTTATTCTCTTTAATACCATTGTAAATGGGATTATTTTCTTAATTTCTCTTTCTGAGTTTGTTGTTAGTGTATAGAACTACAATAGATTTCCGTATACTAAGTTTTTGTCCTGCAACTTTACAGAATTCATTAATGAGCTTCAGTAGTTTTTTGTGGCATCTTTATGATATTGTATGAGTAGTATCATGTTATTTGCAAATAGTGACAGCTTAACTTCTTCCTTTCCAATTTGGATCCCTTTTATTTATTTTTCTTGTCTGATTACTGTGGCTAGGACTTAATGTTTCCTCACTTTTGGTTCATTTCAGCCCAAAATCTTCCTAGTATACTTAATTTGCCTAATAACTTCTTCCATAATGCCACTTTTTCACTGAGTCCTCTGCAGAGCATCCCCAGTGCCTACACTATTGGGCTCACATTTGTTGACCAGAATTCAAGGCTTTTCACAGTCCATCCCCATTTACCTTTCTGAATTGTTTCTGGATTCCACATAGAACCTCTCAATTCCAGCCTAACCATCCAACTAGCCATTGTCATGTCTTCACCATGGTTCTTCTAGCACCCATTTATCTGCGTCCATCTATCAAAATACTACCTGTCCTGTCAAGCCCAGCTCATTTCCTAGTTCTTAGTGAAGCCTTCTGTGTTTACCCTAGTGGAAGTGGTTTGTCTTTTCTGTTCATTTTTATGCCATTTGAGATCTTTGCCTCTCATTTATCACAGATTTCCTTGTACTGTAGAAATGCGGGAACTGCCTTTTATACCATGAAGGCTTATGATATCCTGGCAAGCAGGAACTGTCATATTTCTCTAGATCATCCCTGCTGGGTTTCCAACAGTCAAATGAATTACTTGGAAATTGTCTTTGAACTGGGTGTGGATTTTCCTTTCATGAAGTAATGAAAACAAACATAACAGGGAAAGTGTCAAAGAAAAACTTTCTTTCTGTACCACGGAGTACTTAATAAATTGAGCATGAGTTGAGGAGAAAAATGTACTCTGAAACGGTATTTAAGGACCATGCTTTTGGTAAATAAATTTTGGAGGTATGATAGAAAGTCTTCCGTTGTCTCCTCTTGAAATATCCTTCTAAGGTGGTATTGGGAATTTTCCTGCTTTGGTTCATGACTCTCTTTTGCTTTTTATGTTCAAGTTTTAATTAGAATGTAAACTGTGAAATTATACTGTACTTCCTAAGTATGTATAATTTTCATGAAGTGTTTTGTAAAAACCCTTAGAATAAATTATTATATGATTTTTTTTAAAGTGGGGGTTGCTGTTGGGAAAGCAGTTATCTCTCAGAAGGAAGAAAAACACTTTGCAGAACCTAGTCCCAAGGGGACAGTTGACTGAGCAGTCACTGACACATACACTGGTCCTTTCCAACCTGCCTTTGGTCAGTCCCTGATTAGGAGCTTCACAAAGGCAGGTGGTGATCATGTTAGCAGGAAAGTGGGGGTGGATGAGTGAGCAGGAAGTGAGAGACACAATCTTTGTTTTAGAATTAGTTCCCACCACGTCATCAAAAGCACTCTTTCCTCATAACTTCCTACATTCACTTGGAGCACCTGTTGAATATGCACCTTGTTATTCCAAAAAGTGTCATACAGGCTGAATTGTGTCCTTATGCTTAAGGAGTGCAGAAGAGGGAATCAAAGCAGACAGAGGAAGGTCGTGTTTTATTTATACAGTTTTTCTTTGAGACTCAAAATAAACCCAGGGATTTACTTTGTGTCCATGGTCTTGTGATGGTCTACCAATTTCTCAAATTGCCTTTGAGCTGGATTACTGGACTCTGTTAGTACATAAATGCAGGAGTCCTTTCAGGGACTAGCTCTGATTTCAGACAAACTTGAGTATAACCCTCATTGTTTTCACAACCAATTTTGAGTCTTTATCTTGTTTTTCTATTTCAGAATGGACTCAAAATAATTCAGAACACCTTACAAGTAAGTATCAAACTTGCCAAGTAAAATTAAGGAAACTAGCTTGTTGGGTGGTCAGAGAAATAATACAAGTTGTATCTTCTTAACTGAGTGGATTTGTTCACATTAGGTTATCTGTTGTGGAAACCTTAGTCCCTGTTGCTATCCGTTCCCCTCCCCCAGACAGCTGAGTCTGTCAATCTTGGCAATGACTTGGCTGCTCGCCCAGCACAAACAGCAGCTGTGGCGTGAACAATACAGCATTTGTTAAAACTGCATTACCAAACCACTTTATGCCCAGATCCAGTAGCTCCTGACCACTTTTACCCCAAAACCAAGTATATGGGGAGGGGTTTATAACTATGTTAGTATATTCAGAAATAAAGCTTTCCTGATAAAAAAAAATTTAACACAAGTACAAAATTTAAAGATGTGTGATGAATCCTGATATTTTCTACTCTATTATGTTTCAATTTTTAAAAATATTGTGGGTTATCCATTAAATTGTTTCATGACCCACTACTAAGTTGCAACCTTCCATGGATAAGCAGGGCCTTCATGCACATGAAGATTGATCAGTAGTGATGCGCACCAGCTGCACGCCCAGCAAAGCATATCTGGAAACATCATAGATACCTGGAGATACCAAAAGTATTTGGCGTTGGGAGATATCAGAGTTATGAGACGACGAAAGGGCACTGTGTTAAAGATCTTGGATTTAGTTTTAGAAACATGGTAGCTTGAGTCCCCACTGCCGCTCAATAGCTGTCTGATTTCGGGCAAGTCTTAGGACAATTACTCTTCCCAAGGCATGCAGCTGGATGAAACTATTCCCTTTTCTGAAGTGGTGAATGCAAAAGTTAAATAAGACAATGTAAATGAAAAAGCTCAGTGAAGTGCGATCTGAGAGCTGTTTTGGATAATGTTTTACAGGGGATTAACCTTCGAAGAATAAAAAACCTTTTATTTATCTTCTTTTTAAATCTATTTTTTAATCTTTTCTATCTAATAGATAAACTTTTAAATCTATTCTCAAAATATAAATTATAACTCAGAGTCACCCACATGTGCTCAGGAATAAAGCAAGAGGTGGGTGAGAGTACGGAGACCAGGGGTTCTTGGGGAAAGCCTCCTGAGCGGGACACAGAGGCACCAGCTGGAGCTCCATTCAGGTTCTGACAATTCAAAGCGTGTTGCCTAACACGTCCCATCTTTCCTAGCTGTCGTAGTATTGACTACCATTTCAGACACAAGGAATGCCTCAGGACCACCTTCCCAGGAAGAGATGGCAGACAGACAACGGGTCCTTTATAGTTTGCTTCCTTTGAGAAGTTTGCCTCTACTCATTACCTGTTTCTTCCCATTCTGCTGCCTTCGAAGCACCGAGGTGGGTTCCCTCTTCTCTCTGCTGCTCTGTGCCACACTTTTAGGGTTCAGTAACAAGGGAAGATAGATTTTTCGGGTTGGTTTCTGTTGTTTTTATTTCCCACAATATTCTGCTGTAAACTATGGACAATGATATCCTAAGGGACAACTCATCTGTCCACCAACAAGTGAATTAGGTTAATTCAGGTCTCCTCTAGTCATGATAAGGTATGCTCACCACAGCACAGTGTTCCAGCCAAGAGCTATGTTTGAGGAAAGCATATTACTGGGACTTATTCATGCTACTGTGTCAGTTTTAGGAAGAGCTCTTCTAAACTTTAAGAGTGTTGAAATAATCTCTCAGATCAATATGTCTAATCTGAGTGAGTTTGTCTCGCCCTGTTTTTCATAGCAGCATCATAGCATCCCACTCATCCACACCCCTATCTAAATGAAATTCTAATGCTCCCAGAGGAAAACTCATCATGTCTGTACTTACTGCTGCCATAAAGACATGCTTGAACTGAAACCTCATTCGACAATAATGCATTTGAAAAACGTGGGTTTGGCTATGATGGGAAGGATATGATATTTGGAAAACAATTCTTTTCTGCTTTTGTAAGAATTCACTGGATGTCACTAGTGAACACTTAAACACGGTAAGGGAGAGATGTATGGCGAATCTCGGTCTGTCTCTGGTCTGAACCACCTCTGTGCTCTCGCTTTCCTTTTTTCCCTCTGCCATCTCATCGAATCCCTTTTCCCACAAAAGCAGCCACTGTGTAGCTATAGAAACTAAGCTGGACAGAGCAACCCTTATTTCTGCCATAAGAGAAAGCCTTGTCTGAGCAAAAGTGCTTCTGGTGTTTTGCGGTGAGGACTTCCGGAGCCGAGAACCCTTCTCGGGATCCCGAGGGAATCCTCTGTAGTTCCAGCTCCACCTCTGCCACTCCAAGCCTCTTTCGAAAGTGAACTAGGCAGTAGGAGATCCTGATGATGTAGGTGAGAGGACAGCCGTGTGTGTGGCATCGAGTGCAGAATGTCCCCAGAACAAGGATTTCCAGGCTCTTAAAAATGATGTGCTAGACCCTGCCCCTTCCTCTTGGATACGCTGGAGTGAGAAGTGAAGAACCAAGGAACAAAATGGGCAGCATGAATTCTCACAAGCTCAGGTGTGAGCGCCACACTAGTCACAGCAAATAAACAAGCCCAAACTAGCGATAATGCTATCAGTGGCGTGCGAGCGGGTGAGCGTGGGGGGTGGGGGGCGTCCCACCTCTGCCTAGGGACCGAATTTCAACCTAGTGATCTGATTCTAGAGCCCATATTCTTCCCACGACCATACTTGCAGGGAATTGAGGATGAATTTTATTTTGTGCTGTTCGTTTACCTCTTTTGGTTTCTTATTTTTCTTTTTGAATTCCAGGGGAACAAGAAAAGCCTTCTGACACAACAGGAAGGGAAATTAACCTGGTATGTTCGGTTTAGCTGTTAAAACAAATGCAATCTCTGTTATACTATGCTAATATTTATATACCTTCAAAAAAATTTAAAGAGTCTGCGTAACACTTACCACGTGTGTGGCACTGTTCTAAGTGCTATATATACTGATTTACTTTTAAAATGTGCTTATTTTACATTTACCTTTGTCTGTGGCAAAAGCTCTTCAGGATTAACAAGTCTCATAATAAATGGTCTTTTGGAAGGACTTGGATGGTAGTGTAGAACCTAAGCAGAAAAGTCAGAGACTGAGTGGTGTAACCTTGCCTCTATTCTTGGCCTGTTACGTGGCTTCAGGCTATTCATTTATTCTCATAAAAATGCCTTAAAGTCTTTCTGGAAGAGAGTTGGGAATTAATTAAAGAATGAATCATAAATAACCTCATAAAATGAAGTGTGGTTTCTTTATAAATCACACTATCAGATAAAGAACCATGATCGTAAGCCTAGTTACTTCTCGAAAGTCCTGAGTGACGTGTATGGGCTCATCAAGGAAGAGACCTCCCGGACAAAGGAAAGGGAGTTTTGGAGGCAGTGCAAAGTTTTCCCACAAGTTCTTGGAATATAAATGTAGGCCTTCCTTTTGAGTTCAATGTTCTGTAAATATTAGAACTCAAAATAGAATGCAAGAGGAGGCAATGCATTTTTGAAAAAGAACTTTACGGAGCTCTTTGGTTAAAAACGGATAGTCATATAAGTGAGGCACTGCAAAGGAACTTTTGTGTGTGTGTGTGTGTATTTCTGTTAAGAATAGTAGAGATAAAAATGTAGCAGACTTCTTGGAATTTCCAGGAATGCCAGAAGCAGATATAGCCAATACTTCTATATAATATTAAATTTCACTTTGCATTCCCCACCAGTTCACCTAATTTTAAATCAAACTAAATAAATTCAACTTGATAAGCTTGTGTTAGATTTTTTGTAAGCATCAGTAGGCATCACTGTGTTGGGTGTAAGGTTTTGTTTCTTCAAGTAGGGCAATTTTCATAAATATGATTTCCTATCTTCTTATAGTGAACAACAACAATAAACTACATTTGGTTACAATCAGGCCTAAGAGCTATGACACTACTTAAAACAATAATCTAAATAATTTACTGGGCTGCTAAAACCCAGGTTGGTTAAAATAAAGTCCATATTTTTCCTGTGTAAGCTGGATGAATTGTTAATAATTTGAAGTTGAATTCAAGAGGGGTTTTTCTGTGTGTGCAATGATTTGGGAATTTTAATTTGTTCATGTCTTTGACAGAAATGCCCAGTTTTGTCCCATTTGAATTGTCAAACATTTCAGAAAATAATCAAAGAGATGCCATATTAGATCTTTGAGACTAAAGATTTGTTAAGGAAGTTGTATGGGAATCAGTGGAATAGAAATCCAAAGTAGAGAAAGGAACTGGTAAAAATATGGCAGGTACATATAAAAGCCAAAGTTCTAATCCTATTCCACAGTGTCTTTTGAGGGTATAAAGGTGCTTGTGTAACTATAAATTGGAGAATTGTATATTTTTTAAAAATGTGCTTTATAAACTGTAAAGTGCCATACAAATATATACAGAGTAAGATAACTGCTTCACCAGCACCAGCCTTGTGGCATCCACCCACTTTGATTAAGGTGCCACAAGATAGGTTCAGCATGGGGCACCATGTTTTCTTTTACCCATTTACTCTCACAAAGTTTTCCATGGAAGCCAGCCATCTTTTGGGAAGGGATCCAGGTAACTGAGTTGACAGACTATATAGACCGAAAAGTACCTCAGGGACCTCGCTGATCCATTAAAGAGTTACGGCTGTTTATTAGATCACATGACAGTCGTCTTCGCCAGTGCTCCAGGCTCCTTCGAGGCACTTTCCATCTGAGCCAAGAGACAGAAGGTTAAGGCAATCCTTGCCTCCTTTCAGTCATTCAGCCTTGGTGTTACCTCCTGGGCAGCCCCTCCCCTCAGAGGGAGGCAATGTGCTCAGCGGTTAACACCGAGTTTGCCGGGATGGAGCCAGACAGGCTTGTGTGGTAGAACTCTGAACACACACAGGGAGGATGACAAGGACTGGGAAGGCATGTGGGCTATCAAAGGCCTTGGACCCGATAGCTTACAGCAGTTAGGCCAGACTTGAAGAACATAAATTGACTGGCAAAACCTGACTTAAAAAATGGAAATAACAATCCTTAGCATCAACGTGATATCTTCATTTTTACCAGCTGGGTCCCTTGAATAGCTAGAAATGGCTAACAAACAGTTGAAAAGAGTAAAAAACATTAGGACCCATTATTTTTAGTTTCCCTAAGTTTACCTCTTTCTCAGAAGCTTTAAGATATTTGCCTCCATTTGGAAGTGTAAGAATTGTCTTGTGATAGAAATAATTATCAGAATATTTTAGAACTTTTTCTAAGCTTTGCCTACCCATACCAAACTGACAGCAATTTTCAGTTCCAGATTTCAAATCATAACACTATACCTTGGCTAATTCATAGTATTTATTCTTTCTGCCTCCTAAGAGGGTATCTGTTCTGCTTTAATTGTTTCATCCTGGACTTTGTTAATGCTACCCATTATACTACAAGTTGCCTGAAGTTCTTATGGGATATATGCTTTTCTCATTAATTTGGGCTGTGCTTTTCATCTTAAGAGGGATTGAAAAGTGTTGTGTGACGTCAAAAGTGACCAATAATGAAGCACAAAATAAATATTTGGGAAAACTAGGGTTCCTTAAACCTTTGACCCTTTAATATGTGAGAATCTGCTAAAAAAAAAAAGATGTCAACAGCATTTGTGAGGAAGAGTAGACTATTCCTCTCGATGTATACCGACTTAGCTTGGCCTATACTAATAGTCTGCTGACAACTGTGCGCTCTCACTTCCTTTGGTAGTAGTTAAAGCAATCTTTTCTCTGTTAGGTTGAGGTTCCCCAGCCCTTTAGGAGTGAGGAAACTGAAGTTGGCACCAGGCAAAATTCCCAAACACTGCTATCAGAAACTGAAATTTATGATAATAACCCCGGGATCAGGGTCCAGAACAGGCAAAATTCCCAAACACTGCTATCAGAAACTGAAATTTATGATAATAACCCCGGGATCAGGGTCCAGAAAGAGTCTGGGGTTTATTTTAACGCTTGTCTGAAAGAAAACAAAGAGGACATTGATTATGGGAATGAACCCAAGACAGGCAGGAAGTCTACACGAAACACCTACAGAAAATGCAGCCATATGCATAAGGAGATAAGTCTGGCCCTGATCTCCCACTGTGATTATTAAATGATCTGCCAGTCAACAGCATTATCTGAAACAAACAGGAGGTCAAATACTATTTCCTGACCTGAGAAGTTTCATTTTAAGGAGGTTCATGTTGATGCTTGAGTCTTACGGGACCATTGGCCAAATGACTAAAATTTCTCCCAGAAACTTCTTTGGGAGCTTTTTATACTACAGCCTTGGACAACAAAAATCCTCTGTCCTAAACTGAATGATATGAATAGCAGGGCAGCAGAATATTTAAAATCAGCCACATTTTATCTGGTATACAAACTCAGTATTTTCTTTGGGGCTATCAGAGAGACATGTAGGGGAGAGAGGTTTGTATTGTCTGGATCAGTTTACTATACATTCTTGAAAAAGAACGTCCCAGTTTGACTAACTATCTGCACATTCAGGAATGATAGTGTTTATTCCCAGTCAATCTCCCATAATCAGAAATTTTCCTTCATCAATCTAATATTGGAGTTTTTTAAATGTAAAGGAGAAATCATTTTAGACTTGATGATATAAGAAAAGAATGGAAAGAATGAACATACAAAAAAGATATGGAATATATCTATAGAGTAGATGTTCCCCACGCCTGACAAATGAATGCTTGTATCTACCCTGTTAGATTGCTAAGCAAACAGAAATAGTAGTAGAGCAATTAATACATGGTGCATTTTTAAACACAGTGGTGACTCAGTGTTGGGGTAACATAGACTAATATGTATGAATGTGACATAATGCTGCTGAATTAACATATTTGTGGATGTCTAACAAGTGTAAAAAATCAGTGATAACAGGTATAGGCAAGCAAGTGCAGAGTAATGGTTTAAGCGGCCGCATTATTGACCTGATAGCAAAATAAAAGTGCAATTAATGGAACGGAGATGAGTCAGGGTATTTAGTTGAGTCAACACATTTTCATTCACCACATCTGTATCTTGCTGTTCCTCTTACTAAAGAATAGGGACAATCATGCAATAGTGAAGGAGTGCAGTTTGATAACCATTTATTTTTAAATGATGAGGTTATAGCTACTTAAGAGCAAGAAGAGATAGTTTCAGATTATCTGCATTTCCAGAGTGCCTGAGTCTAATTACTTCAAAAATAGCCCATAGCATTGTTCAACAGCTTGAGGATATTAGGATTCTCAGGTTCTCCTACTAAACAGTGCAATAGACCTCTTACAAAGTGAATAGCAAATGCTGGGATCCACTTGAGCGAATACGTCAGCTGCTGCACAAATGAATGTGGGGTATGTGTGTGTGAGAGAGAGGGTGGGGGGTATTGAGTTAGTATACAGAAAGAAGGGTAGCGACTTACAGAAATGGTAAAAAGAGAAACGGAAAAACCCTGACATTCCATTTCGGTTTGCTGAAGAATCTCAAAATTCTAGAGTAAATGAGTCATTAAAGAAAATGTATGAAAATAATGTATTAAGTAAGTTATGGGGCTGGGAGTATGACACCCGATAAAAGTTTTTGTCCTCAAAAGACAAAGCTGAGCTTTGGTGGCAGAGTTTTTCTTATGTAACACTGGCATGTAAGACTTTCGCCCCGTTGGATTGGGGTTGCGGGGGGAGCTGTTTTGGAGTCACTGTCATCTAGCCAGTATGGTATCATTACACCTCGAATTTTGAGCAATCAATTCTAGGAAGACTTTTTCAGCCAAGATGCATTTTGGGCAACTAACATACAAAAGATGTATTAAAATAGCTGCTGTGGTATTCTTAAAAATAGAAACGGGGGAGGACACATTTAGCTGTTCTTAACAGAACACACAAAGCTAAACAATACCGTCATGATTCTTTTGAATTTGAACAACACAACATTTCTGTCTATTGTTGAGAATATTCATAGCATGTCCTACTGTAAAGGTAATGTTGATAATGATTTCACCTCTGTAAATAATTTATATTTGTACCATGCTGCCAAAACCATAAATTATGTTTTCATTCCTTCTTAATAAAAGGCATCAGAGTTCTATATGTACATCCCAAACCTATTTTAGTGTTATCTACATGACTTATTTCATTAATAAAATATAAGAAAAAAATATGTAGATAATTTAATGATTTTCCATGATTCTGAAGCCTGTTGTCATCTACTCCCTTGCTATTCAAAAGATAGTCCCCAAATTAGTAGGATAGACATCCCCTGGGAGTCATCAGAAACATAGAACCTCAGGCTTAAGAATCTGTATTTGCACAATTTCACTCAGGTGATTCGTGAAGCTTGCGATCCACTTAGCCGTTATGAACTCACATCTCCCCACCAGGAGTCAGGTGTGGCAGGAAGCCAGTTCACATTAATGACAGACTCATTTGGAAGGTTCTACATTTATCAGTTATCAGTTCTGGCTCATTAGCAGAAGGAAGGGATTAGGACTAGGTAAGGTTCTGAAACTACATTGGAGAAGATCGTATACATGCTGATGTCGATGACAAATCATAAAATGGCCATTTAAGGTAAGTATGTGTAATAGGAGGGTCCCAAAGTGGGCAGGTTAAAATCAGGAGGTCAGTAATCCAAATAACAGTGACCAGAGATGAGGCATGAGTATAGGACACAAAGGGCATGCAGGTAGAATAATTATGATAAGTGACTTTTATTAGCATTTTAATTATATATCCCTGGAGAGATACATTATAAGAACAAATCTGTATTTGGTATTTTTCATAAATATATTAATATTGTTATTTTAAAAATAATATGTATATGGTATAAGATAAACATGTAACTATGTTAATATACTTAGAAATAAAGCTTTCCCGCACAGCAAAATTTAACACAGGTACAAAATTAAAGATGTTAAGAATTCTGAAATTCAAGCTGCAAATTGAAAGTATTGCTTTTTCTATTAAAAACTATTTCTAAATCTGACCACTGACGCAAAACAAATTAAAAGAATCAAAATTATCAGAATTCATAGACTAACTATAAGCCTGATAACACCTAGAAATCAACTGGAAATGTGTTTTTAAAAGTAAAGGCGAAGTGTTATAAAATATGTAAAAAAAACTTTATGTATACATTGCAGGAATCATGGAGATTAAATACTAGTTTCTGAAATTCTAAAAGGATCAAGTAGATTACACAAGTGAGTGGAACATACCAGATGGATAACTGTAACAAACTGATTAACACTCACTTTGTCTCAATTAGACGTCTGATAGCTCTAGGAGATTACTGACATTGCTTTCCACCATTTTGCATAGGGACAATTCCTATTCATTTAATAATTTAATTCTCACTTTCTTTGTAAGTTCTTCCATGGATTTTCCTACATGAGATTTATACCTCATTCTGTGTTTCCTCAGCATTTTGGATTATAATAATTCTTTGTGTCTTGAGAGCAGCCTGACTCCTTCATCCACCCACATCTTGAAGGCAGGGGTTGTAGACTTCATCGATATGTACGTATTTGTTTTAAATGATGAACATTTGTTTTAAATAAATGTTACACATAGGAATTTATTTAATCAATTATTTTAATTAAATCGATATTACTATTTTTAAAATTCAGTTATAATCTGGTTAAACTAATTTCTCAATACAATTTCCCCTTATTTCCTAGTACCAAGGATATGGAATTTCTACTCTTATTCAATGGCCTTCCATGCCTGTGTTCCTATTTCTACTTTATACATCTACCATCTCAATGTTCAAAGCTTGCTTATAGAATTACTTCTGATTATTTTTTCAAAGTCTGACCAAATAGACATTTTTAGACTAGATTTTGCATTAATCTTAGCTAAAGGTCCTTTTGTCCTAAGTTTGGTCTCCCCTTAATATTCTAGTCCTGTTTCAGTCTCCAGACTTATATTCCCTTAAACCTATCCCCAGGTTAAACCATCCATCTGTGTATGTGTTGGGAAGAAGCTGATTCAAGATGTTAGGTGTAGCTATGCGTCTGGTTGGCAGAGAAATGAGATGCTTGGAATGGCCTCTGGAAAAAAAAAATTTAAGATCATAAATGAAATCTTCATTTCCGAAAATAATTAAAGACTAACATATTATTGTATCTCCTCTGTCCCTAGCACTATGAAAGCAATTGTGGGTCTAAATTACCAGGCTATCAGATTTGGAGTATTTTTAATAGACATTAGGGAAACCGTTGAATGGTTTGTGTATGAGGCATTTACCTTAACCTCTCTGGGTACCAACTTTTCAGATGAAAAATGAAGATCAAAATAAAAAAATTGTCAGTAGAGCTATCCTTCTTATTGTGCCCATGACAGTATTTACACAGGTCTCCATGACATTCTAAGAAACCAGTTTTGTTGATTAGAATTTGTCTTCAAGACAAAACCTATATGCCGTACCAGGGCTGGATGGTCATTTGCTTCTCTTATGATGCTTGCATTCCAAGTCTCTGATTCTATAACAAGCCTGAGGAAGGACAAAAAAGATGTGTAGTTCATGATTTCTGCTTGGTAGGAACATGCAATTTGGGTGCGAGGAAAGAAAAAATAAATTAAGAGGAACTGTGTACATATTTATCAAGTGTAAGACTTAGCTACTAGTAGTCAAAAAAATTTAGTTAATACTACAAAATTCCAAGAGATGAGGATTTATATGGTCTGAATATTTTTGTCCTCCAAATTCATATGTTGAAACCTTCACCCACAAAGGTGATAATAGTAGATTGGGGCCATTGGAAGGTAATTAGGTCGTGAAGGTGGAGCCGTTATGAATGGGATTAGTGCCTTGTAAAAGAGACCTCCAAGAGATCTGTAGCCCCTCCCAGCATGTAAAGACCCAAAAGGCAGTTTCTGCAATCTGAAGACAGCCCTCACCGGGAACATACTGGCACCCTGATCTTGGACATCTAGCCTGCAGAACTGTGAGAAATAAATTTTTATTGTTTATGAGTCACCTATTTTATGATATTTTGTTATAACATACCAGTTGGACTAAGACAAGGATGTTTCATACACGATAAAACTCTTATCCCCATTAAAGTGTATATATTCAACAACAGGAAGTGACAGCTATCTCTGTATCTTTTTAAAAACCACTCAAAAAGAGAATGAATAAAGGTCATTTTAAAAAGACGTTTTTTAAGCCTGAATAGGAAATGAAATCAATCTGAGCGATATATCATATTTAGGCTACTGTAGGAGCCTGGCCAGAGTTCTCTACTGGGCTTCTTCGTGTTAACATCCATCAGAATGTTCAGCCAGAGATGGTAAAAGAAGGTGGTTCCATGGGTATAAACTGCCATTCATTTTACCTTTAATGTTCCTTCTGGGGCTTATATGAGGGGAATAGATTTAGCCTAAATATGTCAAAGGGATGTAGTTAAAGGACTGGACCTCAGACATACCTAAGACCTGAATTTAAAGAAGGATAATCCTCAGAAATTGATCTTGAACTCACCTGATGGAAATGTCTTGGGATTTCTTTATACCAGTTGTATATGGTGAGTGGATAGGCAGATAAGCTAGAAACTGCAGAGAAGTCAGGCAGGAGAGGGTACCAGGAGGGTCTGAAGTTTACTCCTAGCTTACAACTCCAACAATAACAAAGATTCATTTTTACTCTGGTAGATTTCTCACTCAAAATGGGTAGAATCATTTATAGCTTATGCAACTACTGAGGTATTTAGAGGCTTAGGATGAAAAATTCTGCCAGGGGAAATGCTATATTGCAACTCTGAGTGATTTGTAACTGTGCTAAAAGTACTCAATGTTCTTTAAATGGTTTGTTATTTTCTCTTCTGAGCTATGTCTCCCTGTTCTTGGAAACTGATTTAGATTTATTTCTCAGGCAGCTGGAATATTTTCTTCCAGTAAGGTAAATGGGTGGTATGTTTTTTTTTTTAAATCCGTCTATGTCTGAGAGTGTATTTATCTTGCCCTCACATGTAATTTGGCTGGATACAAAATTCTTGATAACATTTTTCTTTCAAAATGATGTAGCTACTATTTTTATTGGTTCTGACTTTGAGCATTATAGAAACAAAGTCTATTAAAAAATATGATTTTTTTCCATTTTAGGTAACTTGTATGTTTGTTTCTTTTTCCTGATACATAATTGCAGAAATGTTTTTTTATCCTTGAAATTCTGAATTTCAAGTAGCATTTTTCCAAGTGTGTCTTTCTTAATTCTTCTCTACTTCTGGAACCTCAGCTGAAAGCATATTTTTCCTCTTGATTCTCTCCTCTATTTCCCTTATCTTTTGGCTAATCATATTCCTTGCTTTTCGTTTTTCTTTGAGTTATGGATAATTAGTTCCTCATGTTTTTTAAGTCATTGATTTGGCAATCTGTGGTATCCTGATCACCACCTCTCCTGGCTGTTTAAAAAATTTTTAAGTAGAAATTTTATAGACATAAAACATTCATAAAGAAAAAAAGCACAAATAATAAGTGCAAAAGTCATTGAATTTCAATTGTATGTCTTCAAGTAATTGAAGCTGAGTCCCCCCAAAACCAAGTTCCTCTGATAAGTTTATAATTAACCTCCCTAGCCAAAATTTTATTCCCTTTCTTGTCCAGAACCTATTCCCCTCAAGACTGAAGAATATCAAACAAAAGGGGGAATTGAAACCACATACAAACCCCTTTGTCCCTGTCCTTTGAAGTAAAAAGCTTTTAGGTTAGTCTCCCAGGCCTCCCCTGAGTCTCGAAAGGCTGGCTCAGGAGTTAATGGTTAGGAAATGAGAAGATGTACCAAGGAGAAGTAGCTGTTGGGCCGAGAAACTGGTAACAATTTTAGACTATGAATCCACTACATAGCAGAATCACTGAACTTCCATTTCCCTGAAGTTATGGATAAAGTCCCAGCACACATTCCTAAGTTGTGCTTGGGTCTTTTAGGCACTGCCTGTCTGGACTCCTCGCTTGGTGCTCTGTAATAAATGCTGCACTTTCCTCCACCGCAAACCAGTGTCGGTAGACTGACTTTGCTGCTTGCTGGCGCAGAGACCCAAGTTTGGTTGGGTAACAATTTTGGTACCTCAGATGCGATAGCACATCAGCCCTGGCCAGTGACAGCTCTTGGATCCTGTCCAGCAGCTGCTTAAGCACCTTTGTCTCAGGGACAGTCCAGAGTGCTGGCCACCGACCGGTGCGGCTGGCCCATGGTGCTTTCAATTCTGTGATGAAGGGACAGAGCTCTGGTTTTGGTCTGTGTCTACTAATTGACAGAGACAGACATTCGGGAGTCAACGGGCTTGATGTAGGAGGGTAAGTCGCTTTGATGCGTACAGCAATAACTCCATTTCTCTCTACTCTGGGCTTTTTCTCCCCAGAATAAGCCTGTTTGTCTTGTATTGGGGTGGGGTACCCTGCTGGATAAAGGGATAATTGTTGGACTTCATTTGTGAACCAATTCTTTGTTTCTTTGGATGCTAGCCTTCAGTTTTGGGGGACGCCATTTGTATTTTGTCCTTTTTGTTTTTAACGGATGGAGAATGTGCCTCTGGGGCACATTTTGGAAAAATGGTCTGATTATAGCTATGAACCTATGATTAAGGAAAAACTAATTTTTTAACACTGCATGGCCACAATATTCTTTAGACTGAAGAAAATTGGTTAAGAAGAAACACTTTTGAAATTTTATAAATGGTTCTTTTTGCATATGCAGTTAGAAAAATCTGGCTTGATAGAGTTTTGTTTTGTTTTTGTTTTTGTTTTTGTTTTTCAGAATTCTGACCCTGAGAGGACAGAAATATTCCTAGGAGAAACCTTGAAGTTACAACTCTCTATCATGGCCGTGAAACGCAAACACAGCCCACATTGCCTAAGACTCCTGACCTTGGGTTAATTACCAAAACTTCAAATCAAAAGAAAAAAAAAAGGAGGGGAAAGAGGCTTCTTTAAACTCAAATAAAATAAGCAATTTTAACTTATTCCAAATGTTATTTTTGGTTTTGTGTTTGTCAGATGAATCGCTATGATGTGTGAGGTCATTACTCCCTGTCTTTCCATTTGCATGTTGTTTGTTGTTAAAAAGAAAGACTTTTGTTTGAGAAAGTTGAGAAACTTGTTGGACTTCACCTATTTATTTTTGGCCTGCAGGAATTAGATTTTGTTCTTTGTGTGTATGTTTGCATTTGTCTTGTGATTAAGTGTGCCCACTATGGGAGATTCAAATTCATTTCCTGAATGCAGCCCCTGCAGTTGCGTTCTCCAGAACTGAACTGCTTTCAGTTACAAACCAATGAAATGTAAAAAGATGATTTTCCTTTGCAATATGGCCTGGCCATAATGCTCCCTAGATTTAGGGGAAAAAGTGGCTTATTAACGGATCCCTAAACTATGCTACTATTATACAATTCGAATTGTTTTCAATAGACAGAGAAAAAGGAGATAAAATTTACAAACTAAGAAGTTTTACATTGTAATATCTGATTCATAAATAAGTTTTAAAATGAAACTATGAGATCTCTGTCTGGAAGTACGTATGTCTATGTGTGATACTATGATAAGTTATAAGAGATAAAGAGGATAAAAGCTTTTTGAGTGAACCCTGGGGGAGTAATTGTGTTTTAGAAATGTCTACTTAAAAATAATTTTCCCAGATGTTCGGTAACTTGAAACTTTGGAGTTTTGCTAAGTTAAATTAAATGATAAGAACTCATTGAATGTCTAAATCATTTTTAAGATAAAATAGTAAAACATTGATTGCTAGACAAGTCTAAGTTTGTCTCTTTTGCCTTGTTATGAGAAAAATTAAACATGTTTTGGTTTATTAGGTACACATCTTGTACCACATTAAAAAGAGAAATTAGACTTTGTGGAAATGTATGTTTTTAAAGATTATAGATTATGTTAAGTTTGCTAATCAGGAAATACTGGTCTGACAGACAGAGTCAATTACTTGCTTCTTGGTTTTTGCTAGAGGTTAAGGTTTTTAAGGGTTAAAAATGATAATATATGTAATTAAACTACTAAAGTAATAAAAATGCATTTCAGTGTATAAAAGAAGTAGGATATATGTTGTCAGTGATAAAAGGTATATAGAATGGAAATACCTGTTTAAGGCCAAAAAAAAAAAAAAGGAGAATAATTTTGTCCTAGAGCTGGTTGTTTCTGGATGGGAAAAAAAAATTAACGGGATGAACTAATATGGATACAGAAGGTGATGGAAAGTTTGTAGAAAGGAATCTTGAGAAAAGGATTTTGTGCTTGGTCAGGATTGACTAAGGTTAGATTGAATTTTATTAAGTAAATGAATTTGGTTACTAACAGTAAGCTGGTACGAAACTGAGTCTGGTTTTCTCTGTCAAGAGAACAAAGTTTTCTTGCTATACTGCTTCTGGTAGCACATGGGGTAAGTTTCTTTTGAAGCATTTTGTCAGTTTGGTGAAGTGGAAAAGTATTGTTTCACAGTGATCTATAATTCTATTTGACCAAGTGTTTTGAAACTTTTTAATATTTTTTGGCAGACTTCCCATATATCAAATTCTAATTAAAGTTCTCTTTCCTCCAGCTAACTTTGGGATGTTTCAGAAGGCCCCTGAGTCATCTCAGAAAAAAATATTAAATGAACTAGGATTATTTGGTAGGTTAAATTACATAGAAAGCATTGTCAAATAATAAACATTCTTAGGTCATACTGTGTGGGTAAATGTCATTAATATAAATGCTCTAAAAATTATACAAAATTTCTAAAATTTGAATATGTCCTGGTATTATGTTCTTACTTATACTTCTGGTTATTATTTTAATATGTTGTATGGCACAGCAACTTGGTTAAGTTTCTTTGTCAATTAAATCGTGCTCAGATCTTTGTGCCTTTTTAAGTTTTTCATCAGACAGTTATTGTTTCACTCTGATGCTTTTGCGAAAGTAATTTATCTTCAAGAAGATTCATCAAAAGGACTTTTCAACAGGTACCGATAACTTTCAGATCGTGCTGCTGAACTAGGTAAGAAATTTTAGAATTCTGGTGGAAACCCCAAAGGTTTCGTAAGACTGTTAATAAAAAGGGTTAGTTACACAAGACTGAGTGAACTGATAAATATGGCTATATTTTTATGTCTTTTGTCTACATTTCAATTACTGGCTTCCAGTCTGCATTTTCCAGATAAAAGGAAACCTCTCCCCTTAAGCTGAATATGATTTATAACAACTTGATAAATTATACTTTATAAGTAGAATTGAAACATTTATCTTTTTCTCTTTACCTAATCCCTCCAGAAATTGAAAACTCTTAGGTTCCCAGCTGCCTAATCAGGTGAACAAGGACGGTCACCTCCTGACAGATGCAAGAATCTCAAGATATTTTGGGGACCTTGACAAGAGAGGAATTCACATAAATCTATAGATATTGCAGGCAGAATCTGTGACAAGCCCTTGGCATGGCTTTCTAGGCCTTGAGTGATCTTTTAAAAGTCTAAGACTAATTATGAAGAATTCCAGCACAACCAATTTATTATTTTTTTTTTTTTTACTAATTTCGTCTGTTTCTTTTTACTTTTTGCTTGTTTGTTTTGTCTTTTTGAGGCAGGGATGGGAGGTAATTAGGTTTTGTTTATTAATTTATTTTTCAGTGGAGGTACTGGGGATTGGACCCAGGACCTTGTGAATGCTAATCACATACTCTACCACTGGGTTATACCCTCCCCACCCTTGGCACAGCCAATTTAAAAGAGCCTATATGATCAACTAATCAGACTTATTTGGCAAACAAATTAGTCTTAACTTGGCTATATCTGATAAAAATGAAGGTAATTTTAGAGAAAAAAATTATGTTTCAATGGATATTAAATTCTAGTTTTGTTAAATAAGGTCAGTAGTTGCTGCCTGAGACTCCCTTTCCAAATAAACCTTTGTTGCTATGTTATATTATTGTAAAATTTAATTGAGTTCTTAAGAAGATATTCTAAGCTTGTTTCTGAAGCTGATCAAGGTAATCTATCTTTGGATGAAGATCAGATGGCCCATGAGCTACAACAAGGGGATTATGCACCCTGGAAAAAGCATTATTTAAAGGACTGTCTCCAACCTAGATAAAAGGACTCTTATCAAGTATTCTTAAGTACCTCATACACAGTGAAACTGAAAGAAATTAACTCTTGAACTCCTACTTCCCACTTAAGAAGTGCCTCTATATTGGACTTGTCAATAGAAAGGACTGCTGACCTCAAATAACACCCACACCAAGACAAGAAGATGACAGCAATGTTAGACAGCTAATGCAAGAATCCACACCAGGCCAGTAAGACCTATCATACTAATTTAATTGAACTATTTACTAAATGTTTGTTTCCCTATCAACATTGAAAGTTATTGTTTTACTTCTAGCTATACTATTGCCCCTAGTGTTTAGGATGGGAAAAAAATGTCTAATAAAGTTATCACAGAGTGTCACTACTCATGGCATATATCACTGCTCGAAGTCTACTGCTTGAAGCACCTCTACAATGTTTGTGTGATGGTGTGGTATAAACGTATAAAGTGTTTCCCTGTCAGCATACCTCTGCACTTGATTGTTATGTGTGGTTAGTTTTCCCCCAACATGGATAACTAGGCAAATATGTGAACAAAAACAAAAAGGAGGCCAAGCACCTAGGGAGATAATGGACACAGGGCAAGCAGCAGCCACCCTGGCAACAAGAGACAAAGATATTGGTTGTGCTTTACGCTTTCTGTCTAACGATTTGCAATCGAAGGCAGAAAATGATGGAGGAAATTGTCACATATTTAAGTATGGGGCAGTCATTCTGGCTTATATTTTACTTAAACCAAAACAGCCCATTTGTGGTCTGTTAAACATGCATTGTTATAGCTGCTCTAACTATTAAAAGAAAAAAATACATTTAGAAATCAGAATGGAGTAATTATGGTTCAGACATCTAAAATGGAGCTACATGCCATTGTGAACATGATTTTAGACACTTTTTTTTGCATTACTGAGAAATTGAGTTTTCCAAATAGTATAATACTTAAGGACACCATTAAATCCTCAAAACAATATCTGCCAGCAGCCGCCAGCTGCAACCCTATGACCATCATGGTCTCCTCTTGTAACAACGAAAGCTTTCTCTTACTTTAGGAATAGTAGTGGCAAATAAGACAGCTCAAACTATAGCCTCCCAGCAGAAGGCATAAAATTCTTCAGCTAGAATACTGGACAATAAAATTGCTTTAAATCATATTTTGACACACACACAAAAATGACATATGTATAGTGGCCAATAGTTCCAGTTATGTATAATTAATACCCCTGGAGAAATTAAAACCAAAACAAAGAATAATTCAAAAAGATTTACTGGATATATATAAAGAGGAAACACTCCAGAACTTATTTTCCTGTTGCCATCTAAAATAGAAGGACTATTCTGGGAAGTACCACAAGGGTGCATTTTGGTCATTATCCTCATTGTAATATGTCCACTAATTTTCAAATGTTTGCTCAGATGCTGTGACAAATCAATCAGAGAGGTAATAATCCATTAAGTCTACTTCTGGTTATATCTTTGAAGGAAACAACTTCAGTGTCTTCAAGAGATTTCTGCACTTCCATAGTCATTGCAGTGTTATTCATAATAACCAAGATACAGAAACAATTTAAGTATTCATCAATAGGGGAACACATAAAGAAAATGAAATATATATAAAATATAACAAACAACATGGATGAACCTAGAAGGCATTATGCTAAGTGAAAGAAGCCAGACGAAGAAAGGCAAATATTGTATGATATCACTTTTATGTGGAATCTAAAAAAATAGAACTCATAGAAACAAAGAGTAGCATCATGGTTGCCAGGGGCTAAGGGGGGCGAGGGTGGTGGTGGTGGGAAATGAAGAACTGTTGGACAAAGGGTACAAAATTTTACTTATAAGATCAATAAGTTCTTGGAATCTGATGTACAGCATGCTGACTCGAGTTAATAATATTGTGTTGTATACTTGAAATTTGCTAAGAGAATAGATCCCAAGTGTTCTGAACACTAAGGTGATGGTTGTTTTAATTAACTTGATTGGGGTAATTCTTTCAGAAATTATACACATACCAAATCAACACATTGCTTCTCTTAGATACACACAATTTTATTTGTCAATTATACCTCAATAAAGCTGGTGGGAAAAATATTATCATCAGTAACCCCTATTTTACTTCCCCGGATATTAAAAACAGCTGACTGATCACACTCAGAAGAATCATTGTATTTTGCCTGTTTGTCCTTGTTTGATTGTTGGATGAAGTTTTATATTTTGAATCATGCATACATGCAGGAACCTAAAAAACAGGAGTAATCTTACTAGTCACAATAATAAAAACAGCATTTAAAAGACACTTACTCCATAGAGCAAAATATCTTCCTGAGAAGCTACTCTAACTGCAAACATACGTTTGGTTATTCCCTTTTGTCTGCACTGAGAACTCCAGAACTCTGGGCTTGGAACAACACCGTCCAAACTTCTGATCAAAGAGAATTGATCAAATCCTAGCACGGCTTCTGCATATTAAGGCTGTGTCCCTAGCATGACCTCAACCCCTCTTAAAATGCCAGTCTGAGAAAGCTCAGTGCTGCCAGGGGAAATCACTGTCTGTTCCAGGTAAAACTTGATAATAGCAGATATCCCTGAACCTCCCTGAACCTCCTCTTGGAACAGTTACTTTAGAACACTTGTGGTTATAAACTCTTTTTCTGCCTTTAGAGATGTGAATTTCCCACTTAAAACTATTTCTTCAAGGACCTGAGAATCACCTCTTTGAAATGCAAACATTCAAGGACACAACTCTAGCTTTAGAAAAAGCTAAATTCCCAGTCCCTGTAAAAAAATAAGGGCCCAACTTTCATGGTGACCTTGCTCCTCTGCCTCTTGTTACAAAAATAAAAGCGTTTTTCTTCTCTAGACAAGCACCAATTAACAAGCCTAGTCACATGGACCAACCTCCCTTAGTATCTTTCAGAGCCTTTCCTTTAGCATATCCTAGCCTTTAAAAAGTCTCCAGCCTTTTGTTTCAGTGAAGTTGCATTTGGTTTCACACAGAATCCACTTCCCTATTGAAACAGTTATTGAATAAAATCTATCTTTACCACTTAACTACTGTCTGGCTTTATTTATCTTTGACAGCATCATCTTAACAGAATAAATTTAATGTGGATTTGTTACCAAACCAAACTTGGGTCTGCTTGCCCACATGTATCAAAACCTATCTGAGACAGGAGGGAAGGGGACAGGGCATAGCCACTCAAGGAATGACAGCAATTTAACACCAAAATGATGGAAGATTCCACTCCCAGTAGGCCTTGAGGATTAAGAGGTTTGACTTCTAGTAGACCTTGAGCTTCATTATATGCTCATTGTAACAGCATGATAAATAACATGCCGGCAGGTGCCATGAAATCCCCAAGGCTAACTGCAAAAGGCCAAAGAATGGGCGGTGGCCCATTTCCTGGGAATCCCAGCCCCTTCCCCAGGGTAGTTGGAATGGTCCCACCTATAGGTGTGTGAAGCTACTGAGCCCACAAAAACTGGCAACACCACGCCTAGCCGCCGTTTTTTATTCCCTCCTCTTTGGAGACGGCCCACACTCTGTCTATGGAGTATGTACCTACTTTTACTTTAACCTGAGCACCCAAATCCCACACCTCTTTCTCTGCCTTAC